AAGGCTAGTGCTCTACCACTTGAGCCACAGTGCCACTTCTGGCTTTTTCTGCTTATGTGGTGCTGAGGAATTGAACCCAGGGTCTCATGCATGCAAGGCAAGCGCTCTACCACTGAGCCACCTTCCCAGCCCTATATTTTTAAAAAGAAAATTGCTTTTGTTCCCTGGATTAAACAAAAATACCTCAAGAAGTTTTATATTTTGCCATGGAAGAAACAAAAATGAATTTACGTTTTTGAGATTTTCCAGTATTTAATGTCTGTCTTTTAAAGAAAACAGAAAGACATTTTGTTATAGAAAAAAATACTTCACTGGATATATGTTTATAGCGCCTACATATTCAATATTATATAAAATGCATATGGCATAATAATCTGCTATAATAAACATGGAGGGACACAGAGTGAACAAATATAGCAGTGATATTCACTAGATAATATGATGAAAATGAACTATACTTGTGGGTGGGGATAGGAGGGAAAAACTGGGAGAGAGTTAGGGAAGGGGTGACATTGTCCAAAAAGGAATGTACTCTTGGGCTGGGGAGGTGGCTCAGTGATAGAGCGCTTGCCTTGCATGCCTGAGGCCCTGGGTTCGATTCCTCAGCACCACATAAGCAAAAAGAAAAAAGCCGGAAGTGGAATTGTGGCTCAAGTGGTAGAGCACTAGCCTTGAGCTGAAGAGTTGAGGGACAGTGCCCAGGCCCAGAGTTCAGGCCCCACGACCGGACCCCCCCCAAAAAAGAAATTTACTCTTTACCTGACTTAAGTAACGGTAATCCCTCTGTACATATCTTCATAATAACAAAAAAAAAGGAAAGAAATTTGCAGTTTTTCTGGCTGCCCAGGCTCTGAACCCCAAATGTCAGGATTTTGTATTGTGTGGATCTTATATTTTGTGAATCTTGATGGGAAGAAACAGCAATGATAAAATCTTGGTTGTCTTAGCTAGGAAGCATGCCTGTCAGCGAGTTCAGTGCTGTGATGAAAAGAATCTGGTGGCAACCTAATCAAGCTACTCTCATAAGCACGATGCTGGCTGAGCTCTTGCCTCTCCAGACTTTCCTGGTCTTTACCATTCATTTTCTGAACTTGTGTCTGTAGCCTTCTTTCTCATTGACCCAATAAAGTGTCCTTTTAGAGTTAGTTTCTTTTGCTTGCAAACACAAATTTGACTAACAAGCAGTAACTACTGGCAGCTACATACATAGTACTTTGAAGGCATTCTATCTACTAGGAAATAAACTACCTTTGAAGCACTGAGCAATAAAAGAAGAACAAATATCACAAAAGCACTAAGGTTTCCCCAGCTTTAATATTTTGCTTCCTTTCCCCAGCTTTAATATTTTGCTTCCTTTCCAGGTATTTCTGTTATCTGAATATTCTCTAACTCTCCACGTAAGTCTTCCTATGCTAAACTGTCATCTTTTGTTTATAATATGATATTTTCTAAGAAGGTGTCATTATGTAACACAATCCACTCAAGAGTTAAAATGTTTTGTGACAATGTTGTAAATATAACTGTTCTGTTTTATTAACCTCTATGTTCAAAATCCTATAAAACAAAACTGTCACTCATAAGGACAACCCGACTCCCATTTGTCTTGTGGAATTTATTTGCCTTAGAGAATTTTTTTTTGTCGGTTGTGGGGCTTGAACTCTGGGCTTGGGCACTGTCCCTGTGCTCTTCAGCTTAAGGTGAGCGAGTGCTTTACTGCTTGAGCCACAGCACCACTTCTGGTTTTCTAGTGGTTTATTGGCGATAAGAGTCTCCTTTCTTGCCCTGGCTGGCTTTGAACCGCGATCCTCAGATCTCAGCCTCCTGAGTAGCATGAGCCACTGGCACCCGGCTCATAAAACAAACTTTTAATAAAACCACCAAAGGGGGGCTGGGAATATGGCTTAATGGTAGAGTGCTTGCCTAGCATGTCTAGCATGCCTAGCCTGCATGAAGCCCTGGGTTTGAGAGCTTAGTACCACGTAAACAGAAAAAGCCAAAAATGGCGGTGTAGCTCAAGTGGTAGAATACTAGTCTTGAGCAAAAAAAGTTCAGGGACAGTGCCCAGGCTCTAAGTTCAAGCCCAGAACTGGCAAACAACAACAACAACCCCCCCCCCAAAAAACCACAAAAAAGCAAAAACAAAAACAAAAAAACACCAAAGGATATACTCATGGTTCCATTAAACCAGAAACTGTCACTTACTTGAAGCTCATCATTGTCAAGCAAACCAAATGTCAGAAAAGGGGTTAACCATGCTGGTCAGTGGTTCCTGTGGACTATTAAGGAAACCTGGGTTCTGGGACACAACAGGAGTATAGGTATGTCTGGAATACAGGAAATCTATCTCTCCCAGTACCTCTTAGGGCTCCTATGTTTTCTAATTATGTTTCAGTTTTTGCTAACTTATAAAATATATAGGATTCTGTTGCTTAGGAGAAACTAATTGAAAGCATTTGGTAAGAAGATAGGACTCTACTGTTTAATACTAGTCCTTTGTGCTTGGGTGCCTTTTTTTTTTTTTAATGTGATGGGGCTTGAACTTAGGGCCTGGGCGCTGTCCCTGAGCTCTTTTGCTCAAGGATAGTGTTCTACCACTTTGAGCCACAGCGCCATTTCTGCTATTCTGGTAATCATTTGAGTATAAGACTTTCCTGCCCAGGCTGGCTTTGAACCATGATCCTCAGATCTCATCCTCCTGAGTAGCAAGGATTACAGGCATGAGCCATTTTCATCCCAACAGGTGTTTTTGTTTAGCCTTTATATATTCTTTTATATATGTGCACACATATGCATATATTATATATATATACACATATAAAAAAAGGTAAGTACAAAAATTGGGTGCCACCATCCTCATTGGTACTTGTCAGAACCGTAAGAACCAGTAGGTAATTAAAGCTGGAAGTAGTGGTACACACCTGTAATCTTGTGGTGGTACATACCTATAATCTTACCATTCCAGAGCTAGAGGGAAGATGATCTCCAATGCCAACCAGACTGATGAACAGTTAACCCAAATTAAAATTAACAAAGGAAATAAAATATAAATTGTTTGATATGGTATTAATTCTTGAAAAATTATTCTTTTTTTGGGGGGTAAGCAATACTAGATATTTAACTCAGTGCCTCCTACTTATTCAGCAGGCACTCTACCCCCTGAGCTATATCTCCAGCCAGGCTTTTTGTTGGTTATTTTGGAGATTGGAGTCTACTGGACTTTTCTGCTAGCTCAGCTGTTACCTTCCAGATCTCAGCTTGCTGAGTTGGTAGGATTAGAGGTGTGAGCTTCCCGCACTCGAGTGGAATGGGATTTACTGATTATGTTTTAATTTTAGTAAGAGGAGCTACTGCTATATGACTGTAAATTACTTTAGGTCTAGCCGGGCGCTAGTGGTTAATGCCTGTAATCCTAGCTACTCAGGAGGCTGAGATCTGAGGATCGCGGTTCAAAGCCAGGCCAGGGCGGAAAATTCGTGAGACTCCTACCTCCAATTAACGACCAGAAAACCAAAAGTGGTAGAGAGCCAGCCTTGAGCTGAGGGACAGTGCCAGGGCCCAGAGTTCAAACCCCACACCCGACCAAAAAAAGAAAAAAAAATACTTTAGGTCTCAGAACCTCTGCTTCTTTATCTGTGAAATGTGGACAATGCTACCTTGGAAAGGAGACCGCAGACAAAAGTCATCTTCCTTTTCCTAACCAAGGTTTTCCTTGGCAGCTGACAGCCCGGGGTCTCCTCTGCTGCAGGGCGCTGGGCGGCAAACGCTGAGCCGCGGGGCCGCCTCTGGGGGGGGACCCCCTGCAGGCTGCGGTCCGTCCTCACCTCAGCCACCTGCAGGCTGCGGTCCGTCCTCACCCCAGCCACCTGCAGGCTGCGGTCCGTCCCCACCCCAGCTCTCAGAGACTGCTCCCGACCTTGTTGAAACCTCCTCGGGCGGCACATCACGGCTGCTGAGAATCCCAGCTCATCCTGTGTGGATCTACGGGAGAAATGACATCAGCCCGCGCCCCAGTGTCAAGAGAGCAGGGAGCGTGACTCAGGCGTCTGGGGTGCAGTGAGCAACACAAGTCCCTACTGATGGGCTGGGTGGGGAGGAAAGGGACCACAAGGCACCGAGCCTTCCAAAGGACCCTCACAGGTCGCCCCCGCACAGCCCATTTCTAGAGAGGTGTGCTTTCAAACGACCTGTAACACTCGCTTCCAGACAGGTGATAGCTAGCGAGTGGCAGGCCCACCTGGAGGGCAGCGGATGGGGGGTCGGGGGAGGAAATGAAGCACGAAGCCCCGCCCCCAGACCGCCGGTGCCGGGTCGTAGCCCCGCCCCTCGACCCTCAGCCCCGGCTTCTTGCCCCGCCCCTCAACCAGAGCTCCGCCTCTCTGCCCTCAGCTGTCCCGGGTATCCCCGCCTCTCGGCTCCGAGCCCCGGCCTGTAGCCCCGCCCCTCGACCTCTAGCCCCTCCCGGCCTCGCGCCCTCCACGACGTCCGCCGGCGCGCTGTGCGTGCGAGGCAGGGGCGGGGCAGAGGCGTGGGCTCTGCCACGTCTGGGTACGGTTCCCGGCTGTGGCGCGGGTGGAGGTGGCGCTGCCTCTGCAGCCGGATCCAGATCCGGATCCGGTGCTGTGGAGCCCGGAGGGGGAAGCGTCCGACGCGCCTGGAGGGGAGCGCCGACTGCGGGGCCCGGCGGCGGGTCGTACTGGAAAGATGAAACCTGATGACACTCCTATGTTTGACCCAAGTCTACTCAAAGAAGTGGACTGGAGTCAGAATACAGCTACATTTTCTCCAGCTATTTCTCCAACACACCCTGGAGAAGGCTTGGTTTTGAGGCCTCTTTGTACTGCTGACTTAAATAGAGCCAGGTGCTGGTGACCTAGGCCTG